CAATTTTGCTTGCCATTACATTTCAGACATGATGATGGAAACCATGAAATAGAACAGTGCAGGACACTCAAAGTATCCTCTCCACTACAGCTGTCAGTTTGGAGGCTTAGAATAAGTGATCAAGGTTTAATGTTTCCTTATTTAAAGGAAAGTGATAAAGCAACTGTCTTCATCAGTGAACAGGCATTTCTGTTAAACACTTGAAGTTCTTTCTGTCTGGGACATGATTTTATTCCAACCAACCTCCTATTTCCTATGTTGTGCACCAAGTGTGGTGGTGTCTTGCTTTACTAGATTCAACACCTTCTAGCTCTATGTTAGTAGATTAGTAAATAAAAAATTAATGTCCAATTTAATCCAGAAATTTCTAGATTCATGTAATATAATACTTTTTATCACTGTTGCACACATTCACAAAAAATGTATGGTAATTTTTATATCACTGACAGTAACTGAAGGTGCCGTTTCAAAAGACTGTTTAGTGAAATCAGGGAGGTTAGGCAAAATCAGGCAGGGTAGGCAGGTACTTGAAGCTTAATCACCTCAACAAAGCTAAGCAAACACCAGTGATGAGATTTTGAAATTATGAGATGATCCAAGTAGCAGTTAAAGCTAAATCAGATAGTTAATGTATGCTGTAATTTATGGTTTGAATTTAGAGTAGATGTGTGAGACCTAACTCTGTTGTTAAAAGTCACGGTACTTTTCCCATCAGGAATTTTAGCTGAGTGAAGGAACTCATAATTAAATGCTAGCATGTTATATAAGTTCATAGACATGCTTTTATAAAACAAAGTTAGAGACTTAAATGGATTGCTACCATAATAATCATGCTCTGGTTTGGGACAGTGTTGTCCAAGTTCTCTTCTGCTTGTTGGAGTTTCCTTGGAATTTTTTAGTCTGAAGACAGAAAGGATCAGTATCTCTCAACTTACAGGCCAAAGGAATTTCTCAGGGTTGTTCTGTTCTGTTTTGGTTGAATGTTTTTTTGTGTGCTTTTTTTCCTGTTGACAGTGAAGAGCTGCTTCTCTTCCTTGGCAGGCAAAATCCTGCTCTGACTCATTTCCAATCCTTAAGCATAGAGTGGTTTAAGACAGACAGGAATGGTTCATATAAAGATGAGTATATCTTCCAGTTGTTTTCCAGTACTTGTGATTATTCCAGTTTGGGTTTTATATTTGAGAAGAAAACACAGACAGGCAGTTTTCTTTGGTTTAAGGCACTCCACGGGTGCTGTTCCATCACTGAGCTTTTTCTCTTTCTAATGAGTACCTGTGGTTTTCCCACTGCTGCGGTCGGGCTGTGGAGGGCTGGAGGGAAGGTCCCTCAGAGATCAGGGGGGAGTGTTGGGAGCTCCTCATAGCTGGCTCCAGAATGGGATGGGGTGATCATACAACATACAGGATGATTATTCTGTCACTGGCCTTTTGCTTAGATGTTTGTTGAAGATGACAGGAAGGAAACTGCTGTGGAGAAAGAAGGATGGTTAATTACCTTTGGGAGTGAAGATAGGGAGGAAATGGCAAACCACCATGAAAATGGCTGTTCTTGTGAATAGGAATATTGTCGCAAGAAATAATGGTCTGCTACATAGATTTATTCCTCCTCTATTTGTGTTTAGTGTTTTAATTGAAGATACAATGATTAAAAGGAAAACCCAATGAATGTGTTTTTGTGTTACATTATTGCAAACTGTTGTGAAGTCCATATGATAAAATCTTAAGAACAGCTTTTGGTATGCATTTGAAGCAGAGACTACAGTTTGTAAAACAAAACTTTTCAGAACTGATTTCAGGTTTTATAAAAAGATTTTGGTTAATGTTCATGGAAGCTGTTTCTAAACAAACAACCCCAAACTTTGGCCAGGTCTCCACTGCAGAATGTCTTGCCAGCAAGCACTGTATCAGCCAGGGGTGTGGAAAAAAGTTATACATCCTTGCTGACATAGAAACATTGGCAAAATGCCAGGCATGGATGCAGCTGTGCAGGCAGAAGAGAACTTTTATCAGCTTAGCTTATGTCGTTTGGGGAGGTGATGCAATTTACGCCAGCAGAAAAACTCTTCTCTTGGCGTGCACTGTCAGTGTAGGAGGTTCTGCCAGCACAGCAACAGCAGCCAGGCTGTGCGCCGCTGCCGAGGCTTTTGCAGCAACTGCAACTGGAAAAGAAAAGCCGCTTTGAACTAAATTATAGAGGTCCCTCTTTTGTTTTTACAAGTAGTTGTCAATGAGGAACAGAGCGGAAAGAGTGATTCAGATTTAAAAATTGTTTTAATGTAAAAAATGTGTTCAAGTCGTATGGCTTTAAGATGTCACTGGCTCTTTAATGGCTGTTTGTGTCACTGGGTTGCGGGGTTTGAGAGCTGCAGTACACCCAGCATCTGTGCTTTGTAAAGCCTTTAAGACTGGTAAAGGTATGAGTTTCTGTAGAAGCAGTGAAAAACGTTATGCCTGTAAACTTACAAAGACGACTGTAATCACATTTACATTCCCATCATATTTGGATGTGACAACTAGCAGTAGAGCATCTTCATGTTTAAATAAAAGTTTAAATTTCTCAGAATGGAGTGCTTGTTTTACAGGAAGACAGAGTTAGGATTCCTGTTCTCTTTCCACACACACACATGCACACACATTTTCCTCTTCTGCCTTTGGCCAGCTGTTGACAAGATTTTACAAAACTCCAGTTCTTCATAATGTAGAAACCCAACAATTTTAAGGGGAAAACATAGTAAGAAGTAAAAGCAAAACCAAATGAAAGATACTGAAAAACAGAATAGAAGCTTTTAGTCTCCAATAGTAATTACCGGTTAAGGCTGGTATGTGTATGTTAACTTTTATGGCAGCTGTACATGCATTCACGAGGGAAGTGCATGTTTCGAAACCTCGAATAGAGCAGTTGTGCATTTGATCGTTGTGTGTGTTTTGAGAACTCCACTGAAAGCTTTTTGAAGAGAGCACTGTGCCAGACTAAGTTTGTTCAGTTTGTTATGAAAATGTTTTGAAGCTAGCTGCTCTGTCATACTGCATTGCTTGTAACCCTAAAAATAATTGCCTGCCATTACTGGAAGCAGAATGGTCTGACAGCCCAACTTGTGCTGCTATAGTTAAAATCTGTCAATGTTTCCATTACAAACTTGGAGGGAGGGTTTAATCTTTTTCCCATTTTAAATCATGCCTGGAAGAAATTCTGGATTAGCGCTTCAACTCCAAGTATAAATCTTTTGGAAGCGATTTGATATTTCTAAAAATCTTTATTTAAAAACAAACAAAAACCCCTCCAACCCTATGGCAACAAAATACTGATATTCAGTTTTGAAATGGTAAATGATCAGGAATATATTCTTTTTGGTAATTTTCAGTTCGATTAAATTAGGCAACAACAAAGTTTCTACATATCAATGTTGATTTTTGTAGTGAGTGTTGCAGTTTGCTGTTCCAGGCTATTATTGCTGCATAATAAACTTTGCAATATGCTCAATTGGAAGATTTCAAAACCTTCCTAGGCAAACACAAAAAAGAAACACACAATCATCATAAAGTATTTGATACAAAAAGTGCCCTTGTACTTTTCTCCCACTCACAATTTCATTCCCATTTCCCAAGGTTATCTCCAAAATAATTTCACTTTTCTATTAAGGCTGTAGTTACGTGGATGCCTTAAATTGAGGTGAACTATAATCCCCCCTCTCTGCCTCCACATTCCTGTTCTCTGCCTTGTGACAGCCAGAGCTTTTGCGTAGCACAAAACCACATGTGGTGAACCAGACCAGGGAAGATAATTTTTTTGGTTCGAGCTGTGGCTATGCAACTATTTGTACTAGTCTGAAAAAGAGGGTGGCACCGGGGCGGGAACAAGTGAGTCTACACTGACATCTCACTTTATATTCCACTTTGTTTCCCCCCCACTGTGCCTTTCCTCTGCAGTTCACAGGGCGGTTCTTCTCTATGAGCTTCTCGAGCCATAGAGGCTCCGGCTTTTGCAGGAAAGGGGCCGCACACTGACAATTCTTTGTCAGTGAAAACCTTGTAGTCACAAAACTTTTACTGGCAGCTTTAGTTCTCTAGTATATTCATTAAAGTATTCCTCTCTTACAGCACCATGGACCTGTTCAGAATACTTTCTGTACAGTGTCTTACTATACTGTTGTTAATGCAAATCATTGACTGCTCTACTGCCATTTTTCTGTAGGATGTTTTTATGTTCCATTAGGGTCTGATTTTAAGAACAATAGCATTAGATACCTTGAGGACTAGGTAGAAGTGCTTCTGTGCTTATCTCCTTTGGAAACTTGAATTTTTTGCCATTACACAGAATCTTTTTCTTGTCACTCTTGAAATAATCCACAAATCGTGAGATCACTGACAGTATGAAAGTTCTGCCAAGGCACACAATTAATTTATAGTCTGGTCCTTAAGCTGCCTGTGATCCTTCTCTATCTTAAAAAAACAAACAAACAAACAAAAAAAAACAAAACAAAAAAAAAACCCCAAAACACTGATGTATGAAGTACTAAAAGCCAGAAGACATACAAAACAGGCTTCTAATTGTTTTTATATTTCTGCATAGATTAAGGAAATAGCATAGTCTTCACATCTGCCACAATAATTCATTTATGGCATGTGAAATAGTTATAGTGATGTAAACTTAGTTTATACCTGCTAGAACCTAGAGGAACAATATCTCTTCTTCCATTTTCCAATCAGATGTCACAGTAAAGAGTTATAAAATTCTCTGAGTAATATTCAGCAGAGGTTATATATAATTTGAGCCTGTGTCATGCATTGAGTGTGCTTCAGATGGTGGTTGGCTATATTAGCATGTGCCTGTGAATCCTGTCCCAAATGTGGTGTGAAAGCAGGTGTGTTCAAAATACATGAGTAATTACATACAGATTTGACACAGCACTCCAAATGGTAAACAAGCTACTGCAGACTGAGCTAATGTGCATGCTGTGATTGCTATCTGTACTTTACTCTAACTCACTTTTTCCTTTGCAGCAGTCCATTGTACCGGCCCACCCAATGGCTCCTCCTAGTCCCAGCACCACCAGCAGTAATAACAACAGTAGTAGCAGCAGCAACTCAGGATGGGATCAATTAAGTAAAACAAACCTTTACATCAGAGCACTGCCTCCAAACACCACTGATCAGGACCTGGTAAAATTATGCCAACCGTAAGTACTATGCTTAAATATAAATTATAATGTCGTACCTTAAAAGCTTACAGTATGTATATGAAATGAATGTTTGGATTATGAGGGGAAGACAAACAGATTCGTAAATAAAAGTCCCTATGCTGGCAAGTTTCAACTTCTCTGGCAATCAGAAGGATAAAATGTGTTTGGCACTTTGGAGAAACAACAAAAGTTGAAATATAGTGGTGAACAGAAACAACCCGTTGCTTTTAGTAAAAACTATGATCACCCATATCGCTGCCTGATGCTGTTGAAATTCAGATAAAATTAATACCTGGATGTGAAACCTGCTGTTAAGAATCTGCAACAGAGGGTCTTATCTGTTCACTACTAAGATAATTTGTTGTTACAAACTCCTCAAATAACTGTTCTGCATTATTGTGAATTATAGTGTGCATTTGAATGCTTATTCTAGTTTCAGACTAATTTATGTTGACTGTACATTGCTGCACAATTATATTTATGATTAGAAATAGTTGATCCATGTCAGAATCATCTCTAGTGGCTGGAGTTCTGAGTAGACTTGACTCAGCAGAAGGTTTTCAAGCAATGCTGTTAACGTGAGATTTTTCTTGCTTGTGTGATTTTTTTTTTGGTGTGTCTTTTTTTGTTTGTTTTTTAATTTTTACAGCAACACATGCCTTTTAGTTACGTTCAAATGTGGGTCAGATGTCAAGAGACTGTGCAGCTGTGTTGTTTATACACTGTTTAAAATTACCTTTCTTAAATGTTTCATTAAATTTGTATGCTTACTACTTAGTACTTAGAAAAATTCATTGTGGATCTTCTGGATTATTTTGAAATCAAAAGTACTTGCCTAAATTTTCAATACTACTGTAAGAATACACCCAAATCTCTCTTGAATGAATGGAGAATCATTAAGATTTGTATATGACACTGCTGTCTGACCCTCTCAAAGTAATTTTATGTTCAATTTAGCAGATACGTAACAAAGAATATCCAAAAATACATGCCCAAGATCACAACGCAAGTTAGCAAAATAGCTAGGAAAACCTGCAAGTCTTGGATCCCAGCTTACATGAGGTGCCTGTGTTTTTGAATATTGCAAAAAAGTCTGATACTTTATTTATAGAGAAGAACTTTTATTACATTTTAAAACAGAATTTGAACTTTCAGGGTAGTCGTCACATATCAGTCATCTTAGTATTATAATAAAAGCAACTTGCTCTCAGGTCTTTAAAGAAAAATATTTTCCATTTGGCCATTTTTCCCAACAGCAAATGAAATCCATATGTTTTACAGAAAAGAGAAGAGATTATCAGTCTGTGAAAAGATTCATTGATAAATTAAAAATTTTTACATCTTCCCATGCGACAGAGACCTGTTGTCACTTGAATTTTAGTTGCAAATGCATGTTTTACAGAAGTGGATTTTTCCTTCCCATTTTTGTCTTTGAACTGATGAAGAAACCTTGGCCTGCACACTCATGTTATGTTAGGACAGAGTTGTGAGGTTATTTTGCACTGGAGCCGCCCAGTAACAGTTGTGCAGTGGTTACTATAGCTCCTTGATCTCTTTCTGAAGACATTTTGGTTTGCACAGTATTACTGTCATTGATGCATGAATATCCTAGAAGAAATACGTTCAATACTTGCTGTAACTGGTCCTTTTCCTCTTGGATAGCCAAAGATTCCAATTGTTGTTATTGCTGTTCAATATATAATTACAGTTGGAACAGCATGAATTTTACAAATAATGAAAAGCCAAGAACTGCACCGATGAAGTTATTAAATCAATTCTGATGTGAATTTACAGACTTGGAAGGTCATGGTGTTTCTTCCCGTGAGATGTTTCTCTCCTAAATGTATTCCTTTGAGATAAAAGACAGCCCTATTTCAAAATTCTCCATTTCTGCTGAGGAACCAAGTGTCATGTCCAGAAATCTGAGGCTTGGAACATCTTATAAAAATCTGGGTAATCTATTAAGAGCCTTAGGCTTCTCTGCCAACATAGCCCCTTAGCAACTAACTTGATGCTGCAGTAAGATAGAAATTACAGTACTCTCTTCTTGTTCACAGAAGCTCAGTAATCTTACAGACTGTGGAAAGTTTCAGATGCAAAATGTTTCCTTCCTAAAAATCTGTGTAAACCTCTAGGATGAAGAGGGCAAGATATTTCTGAAAGTGAACCTGCCACATTCATCGTTTAAGCTGAGACAATACAAAATAAATGGCGAATAAAATCTTGGACACATAGAAATCAATGAAGAAACTGCTGTTTACTCTAGATCTCTGAAATATTTTCATTAGCTCTTTCCAAATGCCTAGGATTTTACTGTGAGGCTTTAGAGTAATTTTAGCTCTCTTTTCCCATATAGAGTAGATCTTGCCATCCTTAGAGGGTGTCCACTGGAGTGTTTGATGCTAAGAATGGATAAAAAGGCTGCTCTGCATATTGTAGAAGTGATCTTACACTCTGGCATAAGCAGTTTTCAGTGGCTGTACGGAAAAAGGTCACTGGCTTTTGTTTTATCTCTTTTGGCTGTTGTCAGACAAGAGAAAAACACCTGTGGGTTGAGTAAATAATAGTTGAAAAGTCTCATTGTCTCTACAAATGCGAGAAACATCCCATCTACAGATTTTTTTTCCTCTGATCATCATGGATTTTTATCATATACACTGTACTGAAAAATTATTTTCATTGATCATTACTGTAGAGAAATATTACTTTCAATATCATCCCTCACAATACAAGGTAGAACACTCAGAGTTCTTGTGTGGGGGTCTGGTTATATCGTGACTTTTATTTGCTGTAGTCAGTATGTTTGCTTTGGTTCTTGCTCACTACAGCTAGCAGTGCTAATTTTGGCCATGTTTTTATTTTCATTAATTATTTTTGTGGAATCACTAGAGAAACCTCTTACCAAATTATAGAAGTGTTGGGCTTGCTTTCCTGTTGTAGCACAGCTGTGCCATATTTATGAACACAGCTAGAAAATGTTCATTAGTTTTTTGGGGAAGTACTTTACTGGCAAGAGCTGTTTGCCAATATGCATCTCTACGAAGCTGCTCTCCACCTTCATCTGCTTGGTTCTTTGTAGTTTTCTCCTAGGTAAAGCTTTCTTCTCTTTTTTCCAAGATGAAAAAAGTGTGTTATAGTTTTGTTGTGAAGGCCCACCTGGAAGTACAGCTGTTTTCAGATACTATTATTGGCTTTTGTGTGGGAAATGAAGCTGCTACATTTCTGAATAGTTCATTCAAACTTGAGCTTGTTACTCCAGTTCTGCATTGGGAAAACAAATTTCTTCATATCACTTGTGCCAGAGGCAGAAGTATGGGGTAGAATAAGGTAGGTATTGTGTTTGTCACAAGGATGTCATAACAGCCAACCCAGAACCAGATCCCAGAGTGTCAGGGGGACACCACCTGAGTCAGTCCTGGACATAAAAACTTTCCATCAGGTATGTAAGGGTAGAAAAAGCAATCAATGCAATGGGCCACAGATACTGTCCTTTCTGTGGGAGGCTAGACAGGTCTGTCTTTTCTGTGGGAGGCTAGGCTGGAGTGATCAGCTAAATGGAAGGACAAGAGCAGGGGAAAGGAGAAATTAAAGAAGCTGTTGAGCATGGTTTGTGGAAGTCTGCAGGAAGCTGCATGACTCCTCTGCAGTTTCCTTTCCCAAACCAAGCAGTGCCATTGCACGAGATCTGCTATACTGAGCAAACCTCTGTCATGATGAGCTGGTTTTACAGGGTTGCTGGAGCAGTGGTAGCTTCAGCCATGCCTAATTATACTCCCTTTCCCTGGCGTGGCTAGCAATACTTGCTTGATGTACCTCCTTCAGCTGTTGTGTTGAGTTTGTGAATACATTATTTAGGCTTTAATTGTACTTTCTTATTTGGTAACTGTTAAACAGCCATTTCTTGTAGCTTATTTAATATCTGGATCTGAAGATGCAAGATTAAATCCAATCCAGTTATTCACTGAAATTGTTGAGATTGCCTATGTAATTAGGGACTTATGCGATTTGGTCTTAGGAAATTCGACCAGGAGTTTGTAATTTGCTTTGACACATTTTCTAGGTGCTTTCCGGACTCCCACTAAGTGCTGTGCTTCTCTGTGGATGACCTTTATGCCCAAGCCACACAGTTCCAAAGCACTGTGCTTTCCACCATCTTGCTTATGATTTACTTGCTAGCCTGCAGCATGGCATCTCTGTAATGTTGAATTTCTTCAGAGACCTCCTTTTGCGTGATTTACATCATTAAATGAGGATGATGCATCAGACCTTTCCTCTTCCTGACAATCCCCAGTCCCAGGGTGAGATTTCAAGCTTTGAGGCTTAACCTAGGTCTCAAATTATCATGCCAGCCCACCCTTTGGTGTGCTCCCTTCCAGGCTGTTTGCTTGTACCGTGCCATCTGTATCAAGCTGTTTGTAGTCTATATGATATTTCTGAAATCTGTTTCTTCTCTGGACAGTTTCATTTAGGCCTTTCCCCTTAAATTATTGCTGTATGGTAATAATGTGGGTTTTTAATGGGATTACAATTAGGAAAGCAGCTGGTTTAAGGTAACAAAGTTAGTGATGTAATTACCACGACAGACTGTTCTGTGCCAGGATGGTTGGAACACAAAACCAGAACCTTGCAGTGGCTGCCTTTGCTTACGTGCATTGTGAAATCACGTATCTTGTTGAGAGAGTATTTTAAGGATTCCTTCCTAAATATGAACGTAGCCGTAGCTAAAACAAATGGAAGGTGATGGTTGTTTTGAAACATTTGAGCCAGAAGTGTTATACAGCTTTGCTTCCGCAGCATGCAAACTTCTGTTTTTTATAGTTGCATACTCTAATGTGTCCCTGTTTTGAGGCAAAAGCACCCGAAAGTTGTTTCAATTCACTACTTTTATTAAAACACGTATTTCCATTGTCATGTGATATCCATTAGCATATTAATGTTTCCATGTTCTTTGCTTGCCATGTAATTGTGACCTCTCCCCTTGCTGCTATTTCCGTTCT